TGTATTTTGACGAGCCCTACGGGCTCAATACGGCACAATACGGCACAATACGGCACAACTCAATACGGCACAACTCATAAAAATACTCAGTGATACTACACAACAAAATGTCTAATAAGATATATATACAAAGTGCCCAATATAATATTCTTAAAATGTTGATTTCATTGAGTGAAAACAAAACCCAAAACGGCACAAGCTGCTGACATAGGAACAAAAGAATATGACGGCAGTTAATGTATGGCGGTTGGCCACAAAAGGATCTGTTACTCAGACTTGCCATTGGACTTCCACATATGTAAGATTATACTTAAACTAATTATACACAATAACATTCACTTCCAAATTAAATGTTGCCTTTAAAGTTAGTGATAGAACAAAGCACATCTACTCTTGTATGGTACACCTTTTTAGATTACTCAGTACATTACACTTTACATTGCTAGGAGTCATAGCAATGCTCGCGGAAAGACTCAATACAGAACGTAAGCGACCTACGGTTCTCTTTCGTAAAGAAGATCTAACCATAAATTACGAATTTAATTTCATCACTTCCTCTGTTGATTATTTTCATTTTACAGACCACGAATTTTTACGTTAGAATTGTTCAATATCATGCAAAATCACGCTAGTTAGGATCTGTCAAACTTGTGCAACAAGTCTCTTGTAAACTGGTGACCTGAGAATCATACAAAGCTTATAAACGACTATCGATCACTAAAACTGGATGTAAAAGTATATTAGAAATTATTACCTTCCTGTTGCCAAATCCTCGTCTAATTCAAGCTGCTTAAAATCTAAACAAGAAGAAAAACAATTTTCAACTGGCGAAAACACATCAGAAACAAAGCAACGTTATTTCAAACCTTACCCGCCATATTGGAAAACAACAGTCACCATGGTGCAAACCGCTGACAGTAAGCTTTGGCGTTAGTGTCAACACTCAACAGGTCGACAGCAGGTCAAGATTTAACCGAAAACTCTTAACCAAAAAATCCTTTCGAAATATACTTTCTGCAGCGCTACAGATAGATAGAGAGTAATTTTTGATTGACACAGATCATTATGATAAGAATTTTAATAGACTTATTGCCCTCAGTCGGGCTACGATTGAATGCATCTTACACAACCTAATTCCTTCAGGGCAGCAGCTGGGGGTCCCAACCTCTCTCGACCTTCCTTCTCTCATGCAAATATGGCGGCTGTCGCGTCCGAAACCGAACAAATGATTGATGAGACTAACGCAGAAATTTCAGCGCCAGAGAAACCCACAGATGAAAACTTAATAGAAGAAGAAAAAAAAGATGGAGGTACGTTATCTGGTTGGCCTTTTTTCCCCACAAGTCGTGATATAGGCATTTTCTTGTTTGGCGCAAACTTTAATTTGACCAAACACGTGGTTTATGCCCAAGCCGTTTCAGTTTGTGGGATTTTGTGAAGTATTTAGATAATCGGTTGGTTTCTGTTTCAAGGGATCTATTGACTGCTCGAAGATTTTGGAGGGAAATCTCAGTGCATGTTGTAAACTCGCTTGGAACTTCAGAAAACTAGCCGATCATAAATAGGCCAAATCTTCGCTATAGCTAAAATGCGCTAAAATGCGCAATGCTTAGATTTATTACTTATCAATACTTAGATGTCTTAACTATGAACAACATTTAACGCTTGGAAAATGGAAAATACCCTGGTTTACCATTTTGTTTGCATACTGCATAACTTAAACATCTTATTGTTGTTACTATATTGGCGATGATAATAACATTTGACAACTAAAATATTTGACACCTCTGTTTAACGTCTAGTAATGAGTTTTAAAGTTTCAAGTGATACGGTTTGCAAGAGTTCAAAGTGTTTTCTAGCTAGTTATAGATTTCTGAGAGGAAACAAGGAATACTGCATTTACTGGGTTGTGACCACCTCAAATAAGTGCCTACCCTGTAGACAGGAAAAATTGATCAGTGCCTAACATTGAATATGTGCCTACCTTGTAGTTAGGAAAATTTAGTAAGAACCTACTTTTAATAAGCACCCAATTTGTAGCTAGGAAAATTGAGAAGCGCCCTCTCTCAAGGACTAAAATTGTAAGAGGTGCCAAGGGTGCTTAATCAAATACATGAAGTAATTAAATAAATGGCAGTTTATTTTTTTGGCTTTTGTGGCTCAACAGTAGATTAAAGTATACATAAGGTATGTGCTTTTTTTTCTTCTTCTTTCTCTATGCTAAAATATGGCTTGTTTGGTGTATTTTGGTCAGTCTGTGTTTTATTTATTGAGAGAATCTTGACATTCATTAAAAAAAAGCCAGGGTTGTGCCTATATGCTGGCTGCCAGCAAAATTTGCCAGATGAAAAAGTGGGTGCTGGCAAGATCCTTTGGTGGTAAAATGAGATTTTGGAAGTGGAGCTGGTTGAGCGGGCCTACATCAAGAAGCCATTTCTCCACATTTTGTTGCATTTTGTTACAGAATGATACCTAACTATACCTATTATTCATAGAAAAAACAGGAGAGGTTCAAAATGAACCAGATGACAAAGCTAAAGAAGAGGAAACAACGAAAGACCCAGAAAAGGTAAATTTGGGTGAACTGTGATTTGGAGAGTATTTTGAGTTGTCCTTCAGAAGTCGACTGCTAAGTTTTAATGAGAGATTTCTAGGAAAATTCTCAGAGTCAAGCATTAAGCCATATTTGAGCTACTGTAATAAGCAAACCTGTAGAGTTGTTTACTCATATTTCTGTCAAGGATTTGACTTTTTACCAACTCAGTACAGACTCCAATAGCATAAAATACTTTGGTGTAGGTGGAGTATTTATGTGCACTTATGCAACTATTCACAAATGCTGTATGTGTACATGAAATAAATCATATTTTGGCCAGTGAATTAGATAGTCAGTATGGAATTGATCTTCACAGCTGAGGTAACTGGAAACATCTAGGCATTGACAGACAGCATTGTTTTCAGACTTTTCCAAAAGTAAACCCGTAAGGATCAATTGACAAAATATATAACCATCCCTGTGATCTATTGACAAAAACTGTATTGCATTGACATGTAAGATATGACATTGTAAGACACGGCAAAGGGTTAAGGAGATTTCACCATAACTGTGGGGAGAAAGATTGTAGTTCATTGTAGATGTTCCATCTCTCAACTCTCCTCTCCCTCCATGATCTTTGTGTTTCTCATAACTTACAGTTTTAAATTTCAAATGGGATTTCAGGGTTTAAATGGTGACAATAAGCACGAAGAAGAAAAAGCAGCTGACAATTCAGAAGGTTTAGGCGAAAAGGTTGCAAAGCACTACAATGAACTTCCATCAGGAGGAAAAGAAAGCCGGAAAGAAAGTCCTATAATATACCTGAGGAACTTTAACAACTGGGTGAAGAGTATAATCATTAATGAGAGCCTGGAAAAAATCAAGAGGTAAATTTGCAATAATAGCGGAACTCGCAGAGCATAACCCCACAATTATACAAAATGGTAGTAGTAACCCATCAAGCCAAAATATTTGGACTTATGACCACAGGGGCATCTGTACAAGGTGCTACTTTTACCATCCTCAGTAAACTGTACCATGGGCATGCCAATGCCACGGCTTTATCCAGTAGTTCAGTGGTCAGTGCACTGGGCTCTTAGTCGGACGACCCGGGTTCTAGTCCCGGCCGGGGCAAGGCATTGTACCCTTTTGTGGGAAAAAAAATGCGAGCTCTGCTTTTAAGCTTGGCTAAATCTATATATTAATTGAAATCTTAAATGGCTGAATGGTTGTGGGTGAAATGGTTGTAAAGATGTCAGCCAGACAAAGTATTTGTAAAGATAGAGCACTGGTGTGTTGTGCGGGATTTGGATAGAGCGCTGGACTGTTGTGCGGGAGGTTGAGGGTTCGAGCCCCAGCTGAACCAACACTCAGGGTCGTAAAATAACTGAGAAGAATTTGCTCTCTCTATAACATCCAGAAATGGTTAGATATTCTAGTCTTCTCAGATAGGGATGAATAAATGGAGGTCCCGTCTCCTGCAGGGTTGGGGTAGGAGACGTTAATTTCCCACACACGAGATTACTGTGTGATGGATGTCCTCCCCTGGGGTGGAATGGGTGGGATATTGGGCGCACTTAATTTGGAGCCTCGCTCTGTTGTGTGACCCTCACCACACTCTGGTGAAAGTGATTAAATCAATAGAGGTGTTTGCTCTATACTAGAGACCTGGTGGTTGTGTTGATTTCTAAGGCAGGCCACTTTACCCTTACAGAGCCTCACTACTCAATGTAGGATTGTAACAGCTTCTAGCAAATTGTGAGAAAAATGTGATGAAATGCAGAGGCATCATGAAATGTGGACAGGAATAAATGCATTGGGAATGGGATGAAATGAATTGCTTCATGGTGCAGAATTTAGGATAATCTGCAGGTGTCTTTCATTCTAATATGGGAATGTGCGAGGGGGGGTTCAAGGGCAGTACTTTCCGAGGGGTAGGGGGGTTTCATGGGAAACTACTTTTCCAAAGGGTGACGAACCACGTACCAAACATTGAAAGCAACATACGATCGATCTGAAGCACAAAAACATACTCATGTACGTTGTTTGTCAGTTCTCCTGGCCATTGAGATAAAGTTAACATTATAAGCTTTAATGTTTCTGTTTTTCTTCGAGTTAGCTAGTGCTACAACCTCCCAAAGCTAGGAACGGAGTCAAATTATCATTATTCACGGTTGTTGGAGTACTTTCGTTCCCATTTCTTGCTCGACCTTCAGAAGGCCCAGCTACCTAGCTACTGTAGTAGATCGTGACATCAGTAGTAAATCGTAACATGTGTGCTAGTGAAGTTTTCGGTCTCTAAGTAAGAATCAACCTGAAGAAAGTGTCAAAATGTGTAGACAAAGGAACCTTGTAAGTTTCTGTTTTATTTACTATCGTTTGCAAAGTTCTTTGAGCGAGTGAAACGTTCTCATTGGAGTTAGCACAAAAACGTACGTGGAACAGTCGACGTTTTAAATCAGTTTAAATTTTGCAACCCAGATGTTTAAGCTTATGATCTTACATAAAAACAACACGGATATGATTTGCCAAAATGATGGTGAAGAAGCTAAAAGTATAAGCTTAACAAAGTGTTATATTTTTATTTAAGTTAACCTTAATGTTTTCAGTGTTGTAATAAAATTCTACCGCATTTAAGTAACCAACTTAGTATTCACTTTCTCTTTTTATAAGTACAAAAACCACTTTGAATTTTCGAGGGTGGTAAGAAGTCCTCGATTAAAATTCTGGAAATTCCTGAGGGAGGGGGGTCATCAAAGACCCCCTGGAATGGAAAATCCTGGGGGATGGGGGATGCAAATCAAAATGTTTTCTGTGTGGGGTTATGGATATTTTCTGGAACCACACAATGCTAGAAGCAGACAAGAACAGTAATTGCATGGAGGGACTTGATAAAACTTAATCATCATATGAACTTGATATTGTTGTTAATATTCTGACAGAGTCAATTCCAGGGAGGTGGCTGTGCTGGACCTTTGTTGTGGAAAAGGTGGAGATCTTCTTAAATGGCAGAGAGGAAGAATTAAGACTCTTGTGTGTGCAGGTTAGTTTTGGTAGGATGTTCCAGGTTTGATGATTATTAAGAAAAAAAATGTAATTACCAAAATGAATTGGCATGGGATTTGTTGATGGCACATCCATGGGGAGATTCTCTATTCACTGATCACATGTCAATGTGGAGATTTGGTTGATTGGGTTTTTAGAGGGTGGAAATGGAAGAGAACCTGACAAAAATTAATTAGAGAAAGGGCAGGTAGAGAAAAGGGGGGGGGGGGAGAGACACAAAATCTTAGCTCACATTTGATGCTGGGTATGTGAGTCAAATGGTGGAACATAGGTGGGAAGGGAGTGCAGTCATTTTTGTTCTATCACTGCACCCGGATAGTAATGATCCCTTTGACCTCTAAGAGTGACCAGCATCCAACTTCTCCCTACAATATCACCTGGAATCACACATTAAGGTCTGGAGAATAAAGGAAATGATCACCAACTAGAGAAGCCCTCCTGGTCAGTACCGTAGGATATGTGTAAAGAATAGTATGGAGAATATGCAAACTGATGTTAGTGACTTAGGGATATACTAACAAATGTGTTTCCTACTAGATATTGCTCAAGTCTCTGTGGAACAGTGTGAGGAACGTTACAAAGAACTAAAAAGGACACACGAGACTCGACGTTACAGGGATCCTCTCTTTAAACCTGAATTTATCACAGCTGATTGTAGTAAGGTAATGAAGATGATTTTTATTTTCTCTTTATATAACCACAATAGTTAGAAAGAATTAAGGGTACTGGGTTGAGGAGCTTTTTTGAGTAAAGAGTTTTCCTCGCAGATTCTGTGGCTTCATGGTTAGCCTGCTGACCTCCAGATCTAGAGGCTCAGATTTTAGCTCTGGTTTCGTCATTGAGCTCATTGTTCTCCATTATTTTTCTCCATTAATCAAATCAGTAGAGGAATACTTGTTCCTGTTTGATTTTCAAGAACCTCAAGCGAATTTAGGCGGTAAAAGAGGTGGTACAGGTGGTAAATTTTAACAATTACTGACTGTATAGAACACTGTGTGCTGTTCATAGAGTAAGACATTTCACTCTCCCAAGGCCCCTCTCCATAGTTGAGTATAAATGAATATCAGTGAACTGGCTAGGGAACCCATTGAAAACAATGTCTGCAATTTTTTTTAGGAACGACTTCTAGATCTTTATCAAGACAAGAATATCGAGTTTGACTTGACAAGCTGCCAATTTTCATTCCATTATTCGTTTGAGAGTTTTGAGCAAGCGGACATGATGCTGAAGAATGCATGTGAGAGACTCAAAGTTGGAGGTTTTTTCATAGGAACAACACCTAATGGATATGAATTAGTGTAGGTGTCTTCTTGGTGGTGGTCTTAGAGATTTAAAAATAACAATCATCTTTTATAAGTTGTGTTTTTCCTTACACAATGAGCCAATGTACGCATTTTGTTTGGTCCTTATTTCTAATCTATCTAAGGACAGATGCTTAGATAACGTCACTGTCAATGATATTTTGCTCTGTCATCACATCAAAGAAATAGATTCTATTTTGTCATGCATCTGTTCAGTAATTGATCACAGATGATGCCAAAATATGTTAAGAACATCAATGACACTCTCAGCTGTCCCTCATGTACCACTTTTTTGTTTTTATTGTGTTTTGGTGTGATTTATGATCTATAACTGTGCAGACCCATGGCAACATGGAATCTATTTTTTTGATATGATGACAAAGCAAAATGTTTAAAATGACATCATACATGTATGTCCTCCAGTAGATTATAAATAAGAACCAATCAAAGTATTTCTATAGTCACCACAATTTGATCTATGACTGATCAGGTGCTTGGCAAAATGGAATCTATTTTCTAATGGGTTACTATTTCACCCTTTCACTCCTAAGATTTCAGTAGTACTTCTCCTCACTGTCTGCCATACAATTCTTATGATGTTAGTTTGGAGAATTTGGTATTGGATCAACTGATAATCCCCTGATTTTCTTCTTTTCCCTATTCTCATTACTTGTCTGCTTGACAATTGTATTGATATTGTCACTCGTGGGAGGTAGAGGGTTACAATGATAGACACTGATTTCCTATGTGCTCTCTTTGATGGTTATTACCTGAGGCCTGTTAATCCTTGCACCCCATGGTTTCCGTAAACAACCAAACCCTGTTGTGACAAAAATCAGGCCCATGCTTTCTCTCTAATATTTTACTGCTAGAAAATATTAAGTGTTAGAAAAAGAATCCTGATGAAGATTTTTTTTTTCACCTCTGGTGAAGATAATGTTTCCTAAGATAACTTTCCAAGCAGTGGAAAATGTTTGATCAGAAGGCATGTAGCATTCTGAACATGTGTAGCCCTGACCCAGGATGATGCCAAAACTGTACTCAGTGGTATTACCCCCTTTTTTGTTTCAGTCGTCGATTAGAGAAATCAGAAGATCTTTCCTTTGGAAATGATGTTTATAGAGTTACTTTTGAGAAGAAAGGTGACTATCCTCTATATGGCTGCAAGTATGATTTCCATCTTGAAGGAGTGGTTGATTGACCAGAGTTCTTGATATACTTCCCTCTGCTTGAAAAGTATGTAAAACATTTGTAAATACTAATTTTTTATTTTATTGATTTTAAAAGCCATAACTTCCATCTTTAGAATAAAACTCAAAACATGCGATGACAAAAAAGCCCATAGTTCGATTAACTGCTCAAGTTTTTACGGGACAAACGAGTGTGCAAGATTATCTGGGTTCTGCAGGTTTTTTAGCTGTGGTACACAATTTGTAGATCCCTGTCCCCTTAAGACCTCTCTCCGGTCCTTTGAATGGTTAATGGTAATTTTATTAAGATGCAAGTGGTACAGAGTGTTTTGAATACAGGTTGTCGGATATGTAGTGACTGTTTGGTTTCGTTAACTCTTGGCAATAGAACATCAATATATGTATTCTCCATACTGTTCTGTATACATATCCTAAGTTGCTGACAAGAAGAATTTGTTTAACAATCAAGAGCTTCTTTAGTTGGTGATCATTTCCTTTATTCTCCTGACCTTAATGTTTGATTTAGGGGTGATATTGGAAGGAGAAATTGAATGCTAGTCACTCTTAAAGATCAAACAAAGGGTTGATTGTGTTCACTGCTACTTGTCTTGTTCCAGAATGGCAGAAAAGTATAATATGAAGCTATTGTACACAAAGACATTCCATGATTTTTTCCGGGAGAAAACCAAGGAATCCACCTCACTCCTTTATAAAATGAAAGCACTTGAGGTATGCATGTATTTAGATGCTTTAGAACTGTTTTTTTGTTGTTGTTGTTGTTGTTGTTGTTGTTGTTGTTGTTGTTGTTGCAGGTTATTTATTTATTTATGATGTGAAGAGACACTTTCAGCCAATATGAACATTGACATGAATATTAGTTTTAAAACCCTGAAGAACAAGGACATGAATTGTTTTCCTGATCTTTTGGCCAACTTCATTCCATTTAATTAGGGTAAAACAATAATAGGGGTTCAAAGATTTTCTTCTTAACTGACCTTGAAATAAGAGAAAGATTTTTGTCTTTAACTATATACCAATACATGTGCACTGTAGTTGTAAACTGTGGTTAGCACGCTCTAATGTCCCTGGTTTAGAGGACTCGGTGTGACCTCTGATGGGGATCTACGTGCTGTGTCCTTGTGCAAGACAACATTCTGACTAAGTGGGTACCAGCAACCTGCAAGGAAACCCTGATAAAGTGTGGGGAGGAAGTGGGAAGGGTTATGTGCCATAGTCTACACTGGAGCCAAGTGGCCCATCTGGTTGGAGCTTGTCTCAGTTTCTTCACAGTTATACCCCCCCCCCCTCCTTTCCCGGATGGGATGCCATTCCATCTTAAGATTACCACAGTATTTCATTGGGCTTCCCTGACAGTGTGCTGGTAGTTGTTTATACTCCTGGGTGGAGAGAGGCACCATGAAAGTAATGTGTTTTGCCCAAGAACAAGGCAGGTCAGATGTGGAAGTCAGACCTGTCAAGTGGACTCAAGCATACTGGCTGTAAGGCCTGCATGTCTGACTCTCTTTGTGCCATAGACTGGCATGATATTCGGGGGGGGGGGTAATGGTTAATAACACATTGGGATGAGGTCTTGGTATTAGTAACTTGGCTTGTGTTCAAAACTTATACTTGTATATACATAAATATTTATATTATTTTCAGGGCTTGATGCTAATGGTAGCCCACTAGCCACAGACTAGTAGAAATTCAGTTTTGGCTAGTGGTTTGCGATTTCCACTATCCAGATTGGCTAGTAAACAAACTTAAATCTTCGTAACATTGAAGATGTCACCGGGCACTTGGCTAGTAATTTGAAAAGTTAGTGTCAAGTCCTGATTTTTCTGTTTGCTTCTCCGATAAAGACATACCCACCACGCTTAGAAAGTGAGAGCTTGGTTTCAACTGCTGAGGATGCATACACACATGCAAAAGACTTTTTAGAAGGAATTCAGCTGAATCAAGATAAATCTTCCTCAACCAGCAAGTACAGAGACCATAGGGAAAAGAACTTGAAACATGTGGTCAGTTGAAGAATAACTTTCCTGTTATTGTTGTTGTTATGAATAATTACTGTTATTATTACTATTATTTCTAATAATAATAATTGCAAGAAATTATTATCATTTTTGTTCATAAGGTACTGGTATTACCTTGCCACCAGGTTTTTTTTTTTTAGTTTTTTTTAACAGGATGAAGATTGTTGGCTGTACTGTATAAAAACTGGTCAAAACACAATTTTAATTTTTGATGTCTGTGAAGAGCTGTTATTCAGTCTCTGGAAGTGCTTTGAGAGATTGCATTTACTGTTATGATTTGATGTATAGTTTTCAGTGACATTTCCCTTTTTGTTATTACAATCTAAAATAGAAGCAAGGGTAAAATTTAATTTCATGTAATACAGCATACAGGCTGTGAAAGGTTTGCATGTCTATTATAGTCCACATGTATGTGTGTCTTTAGATATGGTAGGAATGTCAAATGACTCATGCCTTCATCTGCTTTTCTAGAATGTTGATGATGTTAGAAACTTTGACAGCTTGTAATTAGTTCTTTGGAGGAAGAGGTTGAAAATAAGGTTACTTTTTTCAATTTTGACTGTCAATTTTAAATATTTTTATTGTCATAATTTGTATCATTAACAGGGAACCATGTCAAAGTGTGAATGGGAAGCTGTTGGTAAGTTTTCAATTCCAGCGATTCTGTTTGTCTTTAAATTATACTGACAGTAATACTTAAATAATGAACTTTTCAATGGGGTATTTTCTTACTTGTTTGTTGTTGTTTGCTGTAGGAATGTACTTGGCATTTGTGTTTGTGAAAATTGATCCAGAAGCAGAGCAGAAAAGGGCAGAAGAGGCAGAGAGAAGGGCAAAGGAAAGAGCAGAGCAGGAAAAGGAGAGAGAAGAGAGAGCTAAAGCCGAACAGGAAATGGCTGAAAATGCTAAAGCTGAGGAAGATAAGGAAGAACAGGCTGAAGAAAACCCAGAAGAGAAAGTAGAGGAAATAGAACCAGAGCCCAAAGCTGAATCAAGAAAGAGGAAACATGAGGAAGAGCCGGCAGAAGGTGATGATGATGACGGTGAACCTGCAGCAAAGAAACAAGAAACGGCTGAGGAAACATCTGTGTAAATACACAGACTCTAAGAGTGTTTAGTGATTAAAGGACTCTTGTTTCAAAGAACTGTAAAAAGGGGATGGATATGAAATGGGACATTTTCCTTGCCCTTAGAACTAGGACTTTTTTTCCAATTAAAAAGAGAGAGAGAGAAACAATCCTTGACACTCACATTTAGGTTGTGTTTTTTAGCATGATAGGTTGATCCAAAAGAGTTTTGTCTCTTTCTACTCATAAAGTAACAATTAGGTAACCTTGTCGCTCCCAAAATCTTAAAGTTAATTTTCCCAACTGAGTGGTATAGTGCATGGACTGGTAGCAGTCTGATTTTCTTCTTTAATTAATGTGTTTTCTGTACAGGGTGTGTAAATGCAGAATGGACTAGATGAATTGGTGTTGGATGAAAAAATTAGGTCACCTCCCTATTCTCTTGTGGAACGCTCTGCTAGTGTTGTTATATCCACAGACTACATGCAGCCTAATTTGTATGCACTTTTTAAAAGTGTATTTTAAAACTTTAAAGTTGTATGATATGTAGTTAATGACACTTTTGTGACCCTACTATGCCTTTATTTAATGGGTATGCTTGTGAAGAGCTTTTTCATTAGTTACTACAGAATATAATCATTGAGAGATCTTGTGTAACAGGATACAAGAAATAAGGGTATAGAGGTTTTGCACAGCAGCCATGTTGCATGGCAGGAACAATAGATTATTTTTCCCATGGGAAAAATTTTTCTTTCTTATGCAAAATATTTTCATTGTTTCTGCCATGCAACTTAGCTGCCATGCAAAACCTCTCTTAATGATAAGTGTAACTTACAATCAAATGTCAACAGTAATGCATGACTGCATATTATTACACTTTTCTTTAGTTTGCCCTTTGATTCAGTCAATCAGATACAACATTAACCTATGTATTAGGCAGTTTTCTTGTTTTTTCTTCAATTCTCATTGGCTTCCTGTGAAATTTTCCTTTGTGTTAATTGGCTGTCGTGATTATCTTGGCACTTTTTTGGCACTCTTTTGGGTCAATTTTGTGTCGGTCTTCCATAAAAACAGTTAGAGTTGGCTTAGTTTGTGGCCAATGGGAAGGGTATCATTGAGAAGTAAAAGTAATACCTTGGTCAGTTATGTCTTTTATCATACATCAATGAAACAGTTTAAATATGTCTGGAATATGTAGTGTGTTAGGACCAGTCAGATGGAAGATTCATAGCAAACCACAAAACCTTAAACTAATGAACATTACTGCATGTTCTAAAAGAATTCTCATGCCTGATTGGCTAGTTATCTTCACCACAATTACAACTCAGAAGTATTTCTGGTGTTCACAGTTT